TACTTTTTAATCAGAATATAAAAGAATATATTTGCCAACTTAAATGCCTTGTATCATGTACCTGAAACCATGTTAATTCATTCTAGCAAATATATTAATCATACCTGGTACCATGGTTGCAATTAGGGAGACAATTCATTTAAGATTATAGTAAACTATCATTTTCCAAGATCCATTTTACTTATTCTGGGGGCCAGATTGGCAAATTAAGTAGAGATATAATAGAGTCCCCCATTTCCAAAAAAGTTATAGTCTTAACTTTTGCCATCTCCCTACCTGGGGTTGTGATATTGGTTTTGGTTCTTGGATGGGACTGGGGGGATGATGAAGTATTTTCAGAGGCTTCTACTAGGGATTCCCCACTATAAGAGCCCATGACCCCAAAAGCCAAGAACTCAAAGTTGAAGTTATGCCAACTTTGATATAGGCCACCCCAATTACACATTTGGAGATCATGAAAATGACTGGTAGGTGGATAAATAGATCCAGTAGGTTCACTGTAAGCAGGACCTTGGTCAAGACTCCACAAGCCTCCATTCTAACATAAAACCCTGATGATACTTTGAGTATCTGAAGATCTCTATTAACTCAGACCTTTGTTTCCCACAGTCACCAAAATGCTTGGGATTCCTAACTATAAGTGACTACTTAGTCCATGGGTTCTGTACCTGAAAACCAAGTCAGGTCCAGGAGCATAGCAAGAAATCAAAGCATATAATTGCCCTCAATTTAGTGGTAGTCCATCTCTTTTCTTCTGACTGTATAAGCAGAGTTGTAGCCTTGTTGGTTGTCCATCTATTTTGCCCCTACGCATACTGTGTCCATTAGCCATCTCTATTCCTCTGCAGATCAGGCCCCCTTAGCTACCCTGTGACTCTGCCACTCATTAAGAAAATTACATCCATCTTGCTTCTGGCAGTTAAGTGGCACTACCGACTCTGTTGTTTTGGAGTCCTAACATCTCTATTGCTATTATTGAGCCTAATTCTGTAACTGTCCCACTTTCCTAATTCTGTAATCTTTCCTACTGTGAACCCAGTCTTATCAAGGACTTTCCTCACTGAACTTTTTAGTGATGCTATTGCACCTCCTTATGACCTTGAGAATGATGTATCCATTAGTCCTTTCCAGGTACATAATCATCTGGTGTCTCTTTTTAGCCTTACATATACATCCATTTAAGCATGCCCATTTCCCTGGGCATTTAATCCCTTTCTCTACTGTCTACCATACCAATTTTGGCATTTCACCTTCATCTAGCATCAGCCACCATTTTTCCATGCTTCTAGGATCCATACTAGTGGTGAATTCACACTGTCTCCTCAGATCTTTGACAGGCTGTTAAGTCTTATATTTTGGGAAGTGTCCACAAATCAGTAAACTCTCCTTTATCTAATTGTTCTAGCCTGCTTGATGGAGTGGCCTCCGACTCCAGTTTCTATAATACTCCCTCAGCTACTACCAATACATTATAATTAGGTCCTTTACATAATAGCACCTTTACGTAAAGACTCTTTCCTTCCTTATCAGGCCCAGCATGTCCCCCAGCTGTATTATGTTGAAAGTCAACCCTAGATATAGGCCTAATGACCAGAAAGAAAAATGAGATCAGATCATGAAGAAGGCACATTCTGCCATGCAGGGAAAGACATCTTAATTGTCTTCAAGCAAGGAAAGAGTGCTGGCTTTTAATAGAGATGGGTGATCACTTCTGTGAGCCAGGAGAATTCAAATAAGTCAAGGGTTCAAAAGCTTAAATAGCATCTACCCAAACATCTCCAACTTGAGTGTCAGTGTTCTATATTTTTTAACCATGGCCCTGATCTTGGAATAACAGAGTTGATTTGACTCAGCAATTAAACTTTTCCCATTATTGATATAAGATTAAAACAAAAAACCAAAAAGCCTCTGTGTCTATGTGTACAAGTACACAGGCACATACATGCCAATGGAATACACAGGCATTTAAAGAAATGACTGGAAGGGAACATCAAACTTTTACCATGGTTAAATGTGTGGAAGGGAGTATAATGGGAAGTTGTGGAGAGAGGAACTTGAACTATTTACTATACATTCTTCCATTTTTTAACAAATATTTGTACAATATTTTTAAAGTACTAGAAAACTTAAAATGATCATTGCCATAAGTGGAGAGAAATGAACGAAGTCCTTAGCAATGCTCTTGATTTCCTCCCAAGAGGAAATCACAAGAGGCTTGACCTCACTTGACCCCATCCTATGGGGAGAGAAGGGATATGTGAAGGCCATTGTGCAATGAACCAGTCTCTTGCTCCTGGAGAAGTGAGGGGGAAAGGGGCTTATTATCTGTGGTCAGCCAAATTCTTTTATTTCTCTTCAGAAGGGGCCAAAGAGCTTTGCAACTGAGATCCAGGGGCAATGGAAACTGCATCAGAAGCAGAACAACTTGTGTGCCTCTTAAAGAAAAGTCAGTCATTCAATGGGGGAGGTGGGTTCTGCACATGATACCACAGAAGGAGTTGAGTCTTTAAATTGACAACTTTACTTGGGAGCACCTGGCTGGCTCAGTCAGTAGAGCATGAAACTCTTGATCTTGGAGTTGTGAGTTCAAGCCCCACGTTGGATATAGAAAAAGAAAAAGAACAACTCTTCTCAGCTTTTTGGTAAGTTTGCAAGATAGAAAGTGCCAAATAACTTATGTAAATAGAATAAAGTTTCTGTCTCTTATAGCTTTTGGTTAGACAGATTTTTAATACATGTGACAAATGTATTTAAGATGGTGTATTTGTTTCCTGCAGCTGCTGTAACAAATTATCACAAACTCGGTGGCTTCAAACAACAGAAATATATTTTCTCACAGTTCTGCAGGCCAGAAATCCAAAATCAGTTTCACTAAGCAGAAATCAATCATCAGCAGTGTCACACTCCCTCTGGAGGCTCTAGGGGAGAATCCCTTCCTTGACTCTCCCAGTTTCTGGTGACTTATCAGTATGTATTGGCTTGCAGTCACATCACTCCGATTCTGCCTGTCTTCACATTGCCCTCTCCTCTCTGTGTGGGTGTATACTCTCTCTTATAAGGACATTGTAGCAAATTGGGCCCACCCATATAATCCAGGAAAATCTCTCAAGATCCTTGACTAAATCACATTTGCAAAGACCCTGTTTTCCTTATAAGTTAACATTTACAGGTTCCAGGAATTAGGACTGGCATCTTTGAGGTCCATTATTCAGCCTATTACTAAGGGACCGATTTAAAATATGTAATATATATGAAATCAATTTGTGGAGCTCCATCTTTTCAAAGACCAATCAGCTTCTAGAACCCAATACTGAGAAACAATGGGAGTTTTTGTGTATCTGCCAATTAGAAGAAAATCACCACATGAATTAAGATACCATGGATAGAGAAAATAATTGGTAATTTCAAATTTGACTTTCCCACCCCTGACCTTCTGGATCAGAATCTTTCCATCTAATTCTTACCCTAACCGGAGTCATGAGTAGACACTGATATATAGGCTCTAGTTCATAGTCAAAGTGCTTCTCACATGGGAAACTCCACATAGCTGACTTCTGGGCAATAAGCAGGGATTTACTTATTTAACCATGTAGGATTCACCAATTAGGAAGTCAAGCTGGAGTACTGGTTAACATTTATTAACCATTTATTAAATCTCCAGTACTGAGCAAATTACCTCACATATATTATCTTATTTAATTCTCAGAGCTAACTTTATTTTTTTAGTTTATTTATTTATTTTGAGAGAGAGTGTGTAAGTGTGCATGAGCAGGGGAGAGGCAGAGACAGAGGGAGAGAGAGAGAGAATCCCAAACAGGCTCTGCACTGTCAGCACAGAGCCCTACGTGGAGCTCGATCTCATGAACCATGAGTTCATGACCTGAGGCAAAATCAATAGATGGACACTTAACCAACTAAGCCACCAAGGCATTCCTCAGAGCTCACTTTTGAGGTGGATTAATCCATTGAGGCTCTTTGGTTATATCACACATAACCAAAGAAAGATTTATGAGAAGGCCTCTGGACTGGCTCATGAATCAGAAAAGCTGCACAAACAGGGCTAGGAAAGACAGAAAGGACAACACTCTGAGGCACTTGGTTCTCTTCTCTCAGTTCTCTTCTCAGTCTATGACCCTCTCATCAGATGACTCTACCTACACTGCCTTCTACTTATGTGGTTTTCACTAACAATTGAATTCCAAGCAGAGTTGAATTTGATTCTGCTGGAACAAAGGTATTATTGTCGGTCCTGCCTGAGACAAACATCCACTATGAGCCAGAGGAGCATATTCAGTTATGGGGTGGGGGTGGGGGGGGGAGGCGGGGAGTAAAAGAGTGACCAGGAGGAATGGATCAGACCAAAGTGATAATTGCTTCATAAATAGTGTTACCCTCATTTTACAAATGGGAAAAAAATGAGCGTCAGAGAATTCGCATCTTAGTAGCAAGTTGTAAAGCCATAATTTGAACCCATTTCTGCCCAACCCAAACCATGGATACTTAATCACTATTCCCAACTTGGTATTTACTACAGCCCAGGAATCAAAGACAGATTCCAAAGCAGTTTCTCCATGAAGTCCCAACAAGAGTTGTGGTATTTCAGCCACTTTGGAAACCCAGGAAAGTAAATGTACAGTAAGAACTCTTTCTGTATCTATTTTGTGAGCAGATATTGATTGCAGTGTTGGACAAAATGAACATTTTTTTGATGTTTATTTTTTGAGAGAGAGAGAATGCAAGCTGGGTGGAGGGGGCAGGGGAGGCAGAGAGAGACACAGATGGACAGAGAGACAGAGAATCCAAACCAGGCTCTCTGCTGAGAGGAGAGAGCCTGATGCAGGATTTGAAATCACAAGCCATGAGATCATGACCTGAGCTGAAGTCGGATGCTTAAGTGATTGAGCCACCCAGGCGCCCCTAAAATAGACATGCTTTATAGCTTAAGTGTGGTTGCAAGAGTGTAAAACTCAACTGTAACAAGTTTAAAACAAACAGTATTTATTGACTCAAGGGAATGGGCAACCTACAGGAGAAACAGCCTTCAGCAAATCTAGATGCAATGCCGTCGAGACTGGTCCCTCTTGCTCTTCATCTTCACTTTCTCTTTCCCTTCATGTTCACTTCACTCCCAGGTAGACCCCATCTGTGTGAGAACAAAGATGGCCATCAGCATCACCAACAGTCAGCAATACCAAGGAAAAGAAGTCTTTTCCTGCATACATGGCAATCTTGAAAAAAGGAGTCTGACTGGCCCTTCATGGATCAGCTGCTGAATGACAAGCAGACCAATCACTGTGTCCAGAGAAATGTTGTACACATTCTGACATGCTGTTCTGACTCCATTCCTATGGTGGATTACATGTGACCACATTGAGAGACCCACACAGAGTGGGCTAAACGCCCTTCCTAAAAAAGAAAGAGAAATGCTGTTGCAAAAAAGAGGGTAAGGAGAGCAGGTAGAAAAAAAATTATAAGCACATTATAGACAAACCATGGTGCACATCTTTGGGCCCCATTTCACCTAGTGAATCAGAATATTTCTGCATGATTCTTACACATGCTAACGTTTGGTTCATACTACAGTTTGTAAAATGAAAGGAATTCCAGGAAACACACTGAGGAAAAATAAGATTATGAGGTGAAAGAAGTAAATCAGAGCTAGGACAAAGAGTAGGTAATAGAAGGATGAAATAAAGGGGAGAAAGAAAGAGAAAAGCAAAAACAAGCAATAGGCAAACAGCATTTGGATGAACAAGGCATGTTCTCAGGAGTCAGTCAACTTTACCTTCATATATCCAAGGGACTGTTGTGTAGGAGAAGTCACTTTAGCACAGTGCTAGAAAGAGCACGGGCTTAGGAGGCAGAAAGGCTTGGATGTGAATTTTTCATTTTGCCACGTATCAGCTTTATGAATTTAGGCAGATGATTCATCCTCTCTGGTATCAGTCTTCTGATCTGTAAGCTGGGGATACTGATATCTTGCTCACAGTTTTCTCCTGAGGCTCCAGAGATTATAATGCATGCAAAAATAGTTGTTCTTGTGTTAGTTGCCTCCCAGTTCTCTTAACCCTTTCTGCAGAATTAAGACTGAAGAGGCAGGAAAAATTTAGGAAGAGATAGGCTTGTGCTTGAAGAGCTTTCTAACAACTTGAGTCACCCTACCTACCACCCAATTAGCTGTGACCTCATTGATGGGAACTAAATGTGTTTCCCCTGACCCCAGATTCATATGTGGAAACCTCAAACCCCAATGTGACTGTATTTGCAGAGCCTTTATTGAAGTAATTATGCTTAAATGAAGTTATATAAGGGTGGGCCCTGATTCAATAGGATTAGTGTCCTTATAAGAAGAGGCATCAGAGAGCTTGCTCCCATTTCTCTGTGGAAGGGACACAGCAAAGAGGCAGCTATTTGCAAGTCAGAAAGAGGCTCTCACCAGGAACTGGTACCTGCTAGACACTTGATCTTGGGCTTCTCAGTTCCCAGACCTGTGAGAAAATAAATTTCTGTTGAGCCACCTAGCCAACAAAAACAGTGTTTTGTTATCACAGCCTGGGCAGACTAAGATACTCCCCCTCACAGGAATCATTAAAACAAGCTGACAGTCATCTTTCAGAGATACAAAGGGACTTTCCATAGGAGGACAGTGGAGTGAGAACAAATTATCTCTAAGTCTATCCCAGGACTTCTCAACCTTGGTTGCATATTAGAATGACCTGGGAACTTTTAGTTTATTTCCTAAGATTAAATGATTATTTTAAAAAGCATGTCATACTGTATAGAAATCAATGTTCTCTCTCATAATTCTTTGTATCTGGGACTATAGAAATGTCACTGTCCCTGCCCCACATCTTCAAATTAACATTCTCATGTCATAACAATAAATCTTCCCAAAGGGTACCCTCTGGAAAAACAAGCTGTTTCATCAACTTATATTTCCCTCTTTTTGCAGCATGTACAGCAATCTATCCAAGAAGCATATACTAGGGAGTGAGGAGGGAATCCAAGCAAACCCATAGTTGTTGACAGCCAGAAGATTAGAGACAAGCACAATGGAATAGATCAACATACTCATAAAAAATTCTATGACAGCCTGGGAATAACTCTTCATTTCATTCATGGTGAACATCCTACTGTCTAGAGCATAGGTAACAAGGTAGGGAAGTGAGTTATAAAGCCACAAAGAAATGATGTAACCTAGGAGTTGAGGTATAAAATCCACAAAAATCCTAGGATGCCCTCTTCACAGTAAATGGCTACTATGAAGTCACAAAGTCCATAGTAGTTGGATTCTCTGCCCAATGAATTGTACCATAGATCTCAGAGTGATCATGTGAAAGGGATGTGTGATGAAGGTAGCAGCAGAACAAACCATCATCTCTCTTGAGTTGTCTCATTCATAACTTGGTCAAAGAAGGGTAAGGCTTCTTTCTGTTCATTTCCAGGGCCTAAATCCTGTAAAACTTTACCATAGACCACGGTTCCAAGGACTCTTGAGCACAGTCTTGGAGTCTTAGAGCCTGTGAACAACCCACACTTCCCATCAATGCACCCAATGTGCTGAGCGTGATAAAACAGACAGAAAACTGATGTACTTGCTGCCCCCAAATATTTCATCCTATTTTTGGAAGAAGAGGCTCATATTCCACCTGAACAAGCATCTTCAGGTACATGTGAGGCTGGGACAGGATGGTGAGGCAGGAGCCCAGGAGCACTTGACTTACCATGTTTGCTATGATGGCACCTGGAGATGGACAGGCATATGGAGCCACCAAGTGACTGAGTCACTCCTGGATGTGACCTAGGAACTGTTTGAATATACTAATGGCATGGAAGGAAGGAAGGAAGGAAGGAAGGAAGGAAGGAAGGAAGGAAGGACTGATGCCCAAATTCTCCCTCCCAGAACCAATGAAATCAGGCTATCTGGGTGTGTGCAATTCTAAAATAGTGTTCCAGGTTATTTTAAGGTGCAACCACAGCAAGGTTAAGAATCAATACCTTAAGAGATCTGAGACCCTTTCCAGTTCAGAGTTTATTATTAATTTATTGAGACTTACATCTGGTGATCTAAGAAAGGAGTAAGTGTCATGAACCCTACTTTGCCAATATGAAAGAGAGAAGAGAAAGCATTGTGAAGTTAGTTACCCAAGTCATTAAACACACTGGTAGTAAAGTTGCAATATCTTATCTTTCCATCTATGACCTTTGAAATTCCTAATTAGATGCAAACTATATTTAACAATATAGTAGACACTTGTCATTTTTGCTAGCTAACATCCTTCCCCTTGTATTGGAAGCAGGTTGTCTTTGGGGGGACTAGTCCTTCCCAGTTCTATGGAGTCTTAATAGGACTGTCAACCACAAGGAGCTCCATCTCAAACTGATCCAATCAGACTCTTTCTTCAGGAAGAGTGACAGAGTGACTCTAGGTAGGTGGAGCTGTACTATTCCCATAGCACGACTAAAGAAAGAGAATCTACTCCTTAGTGAGATCCTATACCTTCCTCCTTCCCTTTCTTTCCAACATGTGGCTCTCAGCATTTTCTTTAATTCTGTGAGCTATTGAGTATGCTTCCGCTACCTTCCTCCTTTCACCTACCTAGATGATTCAGAGCTTCTTCCAGTTGCTTGCAGGGCTGGTTCAAAAACTGGAATCTGAAAGTGAACACTGCAAGCAACAGAAATCTCAGCTGTGGAAATAGCAGCTGTATGTAGGTACAAGGCAGTGAAAGTCCCCTAATTCAGTTGAAAAAGTTTAAGCCAATTCTTTTCTTGAAATTTCCAATTTTCATATGCATCAGTACATTTCTTGTTTTGCTCAATCTAGTTCTGATTAAATAAGCTATGTATGCAAAATGCAAGGAGTCACAACAGCAAGGAGTTCCCCTCTTTGTGGTTATTTGGCACATTAGTAGGTTGGGGTTGCCATTGGGTGGGCCTTCTGGCACTTTTTTTTTTTTAACCCATTAGAGTAATCTTAATGCACATCAAGAACTGGCCCAAAGCAAGCCTTTTGCTGTTATAGCCCTCCAGACGATAAATAGGAATTGGAAATTTAGGCCCAGAGTATAGTATGCAACCAAACTCCTCATCTAAAATTTTTGTAATGGAAAGAGCCTATAGAAAGCAAAAAAGGCAGAGACAGCAAGTGGACATAATAATAATGATGATGAGCGCCATTTGTTAAGCCCTTACCATAAGCCACTGATCTATGATGTCATTTAATCCTAGAAGAGTGATACTATGTTTTGTTTTGTTTTATTTTGTTTCTAAGGTTGAACTGCAGAGGCACAGAATTGAATTGATTCAGTCACTCATTCTTTTCTGTTACTGACATGATATAATCATCTGTCTAGACATGACCCCTATTTTGTCTTATCTTCTTTATCCCTAATTCCTGAGTGTATCGAATGTATGCTGTTCTAATATATTCTCTATAGACTTACAGATCCACAAAAATATGTAGTGTAGTGTCTGCTTTTAAAATATATATAAATGGATCATACTGCATGTCTAACTCTGCAATTTGCTTTTTTTATTCAGCATTATGTTTCTGAGATCCATCCATGTTGATATATATAGAGAGAGCTAGTTCATCTGTTTAAACTGCTCCATGGTATACTATCATATTGATATATTACAGCTTATCTATGTTTTTTTCTCCCTGATAGATATCTAGACTGTTGTTATTTCTTTTCTATTACAAAAAGCACTTCAATGAATAATTTTGTATATGTCCCTCAATGCATTGGGCAAGAGTCTCTCTAGATTTACCTAGAAGGAGAATGTCAGGGCCTTAGGCTTCATGTATCTTCAGTTTTAGTAAATCCTACCAAATTACAAAGTAGCTTTGCTAATTTACACTCCCATCAAGGAGAGTTCTTGGGATAGATACTATTATTATCTCTATTTTGCAGATGAGGAAACACACAAAATGTCCAAAGTTAAACATTGTATCTATCTGAACCATGTCTATCTAACTCCAGGTCTACACAACACAATGTCACTACACCATACGCACTAATTAACAACAGCTGGAAATGCATTCAGCTGCAAGTGACAGAATCAGCTACGTGTGGCTTAAGTAGTATGAGTATTTATTGTCTCACTTACCAAAAACAGTAGAAGGAGGTGGTTGGTTGCAGAGCAGCTAAGCAGCTCAGCTATATCATTGGCAACATGGACACTTTTTGTTTTTAATTTCACTATCTTCCGCTGTTAAGTTATCACCCCCATTTCATCTCCTCTCAGCCCTAAGATGCCTGACATTGCTCTGACAGCATGTCTGGGTTCACAGCAGTAAGGAGGGTGGGGGCTGCACAGTGGCACCAAGCATGAAGCTCTTCCCGTTTTTGTTCTTTTTTAAAATAAAAAGGAAAAATGCCTTCCATGAATTCCCCACTCACCACACCCTTTGCCATTTTTTCTCATTGGTCAGAGCCCACAATTGGTCCAATCTTCTGGCAGAATGAGATTAGGTCTGGTTTAGATCAACCACAACTCAGTCACTGGGACTCACAGAGAGGGTTTATCTTTTTAATTCCAAGCCATCTCCATGTCTCAAATCCGTTTGTCAGCAAAAAAAGAAAGACAATAGCTGTTAGTTAGCAACTTGGTTTTTCTTTCATCTTTGACATTTTCTTCTCAGACTTTTTTTGCTGGTTTCTCCTCTTTACTCAGTTGTTAAATACCTGCTTCACCTTGTGACTCTTTTCTTCCCAAATAATTAAGAGAGGACTAACAGATGGCCAGCAGATCGAAATTGAGTTTGTGACCCCTGCTGTATACCCTCTCCCTATGCTGACAGCATCCATTCTCATGGTTTCATATGCCATCTACATATTAGTAATTCCTAAATTTGTATCTCCAGCTTCCTCTTCTTTCTTGAGCTTCAGCTTCATATGTAACATAGCCTCTTTGGAGATTCCTAAGACATATCAAACTCAACTTGTCTAAAACTGAGCTTTTCACCTTGCTCCTTCTTTTCTGGTGCAGCCCATCTCCAAGAATACAACTCCCTTCCACTAAAGTTGCCCAAGTCAGAGACTTGTGACACTTCTCACACAATAGCTCTCAAGTTTGCTTTTCTTCATCTGCACTGTGAACACCTTAATCTAAAACTGCTAGTAGAGAGGCACCTGGGTGGCTCAGTCTGTTGAGCATCTGACTTTTGATACAGGCTCAGGTCATGATCTTACTGGTATGAGAGGAGACACAGAGCCTGCTTGGGATTCTCTCTCTCTGCCCCTCCTCCACTCTTGCAAGCTTTATCTCTCTCTCAAAGTAAATAAATAAACTTTAAAAATAATAAAACTGCTAGTAGAAATTTTGTGGTATATCTACAGACCAGCACCATGCACCTGGGTTATAAATGCAAGTGTTAGGCCCCACCCCAGACCTCCTGGATCAGAATCTGCCTTGTAACAAGATTCCCAAGCAATTCATTAAAATTTGAGAACGTCTCATGTTGACTTTTGATATAGCTTATTAA